GGTTGAACCCAGTCTCCTGCATTGCAGGTGGATTCTTTACTGTCTGAGCCACCAGGGAAGGGATCTGTTGTGCCTAGGGATCATTATCAAGTTCACATATCTAAGACATAAATTTGAATTCTTATATTGGTATTTTTAAAAGAAATAAATTCAATTCAGTGGATTAGACAAAATTGGACTACTGAGGTAACACCTTCTACAAGCAACTGCTGCTGCTGCTGCTGCTGCTGCTAAGTCGCTTCAGTCATGTCCGACTCTGGGCAACCCCATAGACGGCAGCCCACCAGGCTCCCCGTCCCTGGGATTCTCCAGGCAAGAACACTGCAGTGGGTTGCCATTTCCTTCTCCAGTCCATGAAAATGAAAAGTGAAAGTGAAGTCGCTCAGTCATGTCCTATTCTTAGCGACCCCATGGACTGCAGCCTACCAGGCTCCTCCATTCATGGGATTTTCCAGGCAAGAGTACTGGAGTGGGGTGCCATTGCCTTCTCCCTACAAGCAACTAAAGCCTCATTAATCAACTCTAAACTTTCAAAGAAAAAATTTTCTCTTGCACAGCTAAACCCCAAAGTTAGTAGAAGGAAAGAAAAAATAAAAATCAGAGCAGAAATAACTGAAAAAGAAATAAAGGAGATTATAGCAAAAATCAACAAGACTAAAATCTGGCTCTTTGAGAAGATAAATAAAATAGACAAACTATCAGCCCGAATCATCAAGAAAAAATGGGAGAAGAATCAAATCAATAAAGTTAGAAATGAAAATGGAGAAATCACAACAGACAACACAGAAATACAAAGGGTCATAAGAGGCTACTATCAGCAACTGTATGCCAATAAAATGGACAACTTGGAAGAAAGGGACAAATTCTTAGAAAAGTATAATCTTCCAAAACTGAACCAGGAAGAAATAGAAAATCTTAAACAGACTCACTACAAGCATGGAAATATAAACTGTAATCAAAAATCTTTCAACAAACAGAAGCCCAGGACCAGATAGCTTCACAGGTAAATTCTACCAAAAATTTAAAGAAGAGCTAACACCTATCCTACTCAAACTCTTCCAGAAACTTGAAGAGGAAAGTCTCAAACTCATTCTATGAGGCCACCATCACTCTAATACCAAAACCAGATAAAGATGCCACAAAAAAGGAAAACTACAGGCCAATATCACTGATGAAGATAGATGCAAAAATCCTCAACAAAATTCTAGCAAACAGAGTCCAACAACATGTTAAAAAGGTCATACATCATGACCAAGTGGGCTTTATCCCAGGGATACAAGGATTCTTCAGTATTCACAAATTAATCACTGTGATACACCAAATAAACAAATTGAAAGATAAAACCATATTATTATCTCAATAGATGCAGAGAAAGCCTTTGACAAAATTCAACACCCATTTATGATAAAAGCTCTCCAGAAAGCAGGCATAGAAGGAACATACCTCAACACAATAAAAGCCATCTATGATAAACCCACAGCAAACATCCTCAATGGCAAAAAATTGAAAGCATTTCCTCTAAAATCAGGAAAAAGACTAGGGTGCCCACTCTCACCACTACTATACAACATAGTTTTGGAAGTCCTAGGCACAGCAATCAGAGAAGAAAAAGAAATAAAAGGAATCCAGATAGGAAAAGAAGAAGTAAAATTCTCACTGTTTGCAGATGACATAATCCTCTACATGGAAAACCCTAAAGACACCACCAGAAAATTACTAGAGCTAATCAGTGAATATAGTAAAGTTGCAGGATATAAAAATAATACATAGAAATCCCTTCCATTCCTATACACTAACAATGAGAAAACAGAAAGAGAAATTAAGGAAACAATCCCATTCACCATTGCAATGAAAAGAATAAAATAGTTAGGAATAAATTTACCTAAAGAAACAAAAGACCTAGATATACAAAACTATAAAACACTGATGAAAGAAGTCAGAGATGACACAAATAGATGGAGAAATATACTATGTTCATGGATCGAAAGAATTGATACAGTGAAATTTAGTATACTACCCAAAACAATCTATAGATTCAATGCAATCCTTATCAAGCTACCAATGGTATTTTTCATAGAACTAGAACAAATGATTTCACAATTTGTATGGAAACACAAAAAAACCTCGAATAGCCAAAGTGGTCTTGAGAAAGAAGAATGAAACTGGAGGAATCAACCTGCCTGATTTCAGACTATACTACAAAGCTACAGTCATCAAGACAGTATAGTACTGGCACAAAGCCAGAAATATAGATCAATGGGACAAAATAGAAAGTCCAGTTATAAATCCATGTACCTATGGACACCATTTCTTTGACAAAGGAGGCAAAAATATACAATGGAGATAAGACAATCTCTTTAACAAGTGGCGCTGGGAAAACTGGTGAAACACCTGTAAAAGCATGAAAATAGAACACTTTGTAGCACTATACACAAAAATAAACTCAAAATGGATTAAAGATCTAAATGTAAGACCAGAAACTATAAAATTCCTAGAAGAAAACATAGGCAAAACACTCTGTGATATAAATCAGAGCAAGATCCTCTATGACCCACCTCCCAGAGTGATGGAAATAAAAGCAAAAATAAACAAACGGGACCTAATTAAGTTTAAAAGCTTTTGCACAATGAAGGAAACTAAGCAAGGTGAAAAGACAGCATTCAGAATGGGAGAAAATAATAGCAAACAAGCAACTAACAAAGAATTAATCTCCAAAATATACAAGCAGCTCATGCAGCTCAATACCAGAAAAATAAATGACTTAATCAAAAAATGGGCTGAAGATCTAAACAGACATTTCTCCAAAGACATACAGATGGCTAACAAACACATGAAATATGCTCAACATCACTCATTATCAGAGAAATGCAGATCAAAATCACAATGAGGTATTGTCTCATGCCGGTCAGAATGGTTGCCATCAAAAAGTCTGCAAACAATAAATGCTGGAGAGGGTGTGGAGAAAAGCGAACCCTCTTACACTGTTGGTGGGAATGCAAACTAGTGCAGCCGCTATGGAGAACAGTGTGGAGATTCCTTAAAAAACTGGAAATAGAAATTCCACATGACCCAACAATCTCACTGCTGGGCATATACATCAAGGAAACTAGAACTGAAAGAGACATGTGTACCCCAATGTTCATTGCAATACTGTTTACAATAGCTAGGACATGGAAGCAACCTAGATGTCCATTGGCCCACAAATGGATAAGAAAGTTGTGGTGCATATATACAATGGAATATTACTCAACTATAAAAATGACTGCATTTGAGTCAGTTCTAATGAGGTGGATGAAACTGGAGCCTATTATACAGAGTGAAGTAAGTCAGAAAGAGAAACACCAATACAGTATATTAACACATATATATGGAATTTATAAAGATGGTAATGCTGACCCTATATGCAAGACAGCAAAAGAGACACAGATGTAAATAACAGACTTTTGGACTCTGTTGGGAGAAGGTGAGGGTGGGAGTGTTTGAAAGGATAGCATTGAAACGTGTATATTACTATATGTGAAATAGATGACTGGTCCAAGTTCAATGCATGAAGCAGGGCACTCAATGCTGATGCACTGAAATGACCCAGAGAAATGGGATAGGGAGGGAGGTGGGTGGTGGGTTCAGGATGGGGGACACATGTTCACCCATGGCTGATTCATGTCAATGTATGGCAAAAAACACCACAGTATTGTAAAGTAATTAGCCTATAATTAAAATAAATAAATTTTAAAAAAATAATAAAAAAGAAATGAACTCCTAAATATTGATTCTATGTTATAATAATTCTTTGTTTAATGAGAATGATTCCAGTTAATCCTTACTTTCATGTGATACAACTTAGGTTTACAGGCATTTTAAAATAAATGCTATTGCAATCAAATTTGAGACCTGAGAAATACTTTTCCTACTAAAGCTAAAAATCTGAATCAAAACTTTCCTACAGTTAATTCTTTGTAATAATGGTATTAAATATTTTAAGGAACTTATTCTCGATCAAAAGTAAAGAATGTTTATCCATTCCTATGGCACATGTATCCTTTTGCTATGTGCTGAACAAAGCAAGTCAAACAGGCATATGAGTTCTTTCTCTGGAATCTCCTGACAGAGTCTAAGAAGCTTCTATAACAGGGCAGATAAAACAGTCTTTTAACTGGAAAAATAACTTGATCATGTCTTTGAAAAAAATAGCATACTTATAAAGTTTTTAGTTTATATTTGTATTTATTGATTTTCAGGATTGTGATAGATTCACATTGTGAGAAAAAAAATCTCAAAATATAGGAACCAAATTTCCTACCCTATAGCAATATAAGTACAGAAATAAATGAGGAAATTCATACATTTAAATAGCTTAGACTCATTTGGAATTTTTCACATGTAGAAGATCTATATGATATAGAAGTAGAGTTATGCACATAATAGCAGGAAAATTTTAAAATATCTTTAAAGAACACATCTTTTTATATTGCTCATGATATAATACCATTGATTATACTCTGAGTACCAGGTTTGTCTACTAGTTATTAATAAAGTTACTACAAACACTGTTTAAAGAATACATTCATGCTAGAGACCCAACTCATATAGCTATAATTTTTAAAGAACTGAACTGTGTGTTATGACAGCAAAATTTCATTAATTAAAAAATCCACTTAGTTGATTTGTACAGTAAAAACTTTATCATTTAGTTGATTTGTACAGTAAAATCCCTAGTTCACATTTATTTATTTATGTTACATATGTTGTTTATGAAGAAAGACCTTCCTTCTCCATATATATTAAGTGAGCTACATAGGTATGCCATAAATTGTATTATTCATGTTGTAAGAGTTCTGTAGTCCATCCATTTCTATTTGAGAACCAGAAGTCAATTTATGGCTTGATTTCTTCTATTTCTTTTCTACTCTATTTCTGATTTTATTTATTTAGTTTTATATGAGAAGAACAAAACCAACACTTTCTGTATATCATCTTCAATTTAAACTTTTGAGTGGTGGTCAAGAATTGTTTTTGGCTTGAATAGTCTTCAGAAGTTTCTGGTACATTTCTGACTTCAGAAACCTGGGATAGGAATCCCTTTCCATGTGCATGTACACTATTTTTTGAGCCTCTTCAAAACATGTTTGAGTGGGTTCTTGAATATTTTTGATGATAGCTTCTCTTGTTGAACTGTCAATGTTAATCTGCAGAGTGAAATTACATGTGAAGCATAAGTAGCCATAATTGAAGATGAGAATAGAATGGAAAGGTTTATTTCCTGCTGTACTTTTCAGTGGAATAGGGTAATTTTGTCTGCACTTTCATTGACATCTTAAAAAACTTATATGAGATAAGCTCTTTGCTTTTTAAAAAATAAACATCCAACTCCACATCCCAGATTAAAACACACACACACACACACACACACACACACTCACACAAAACATGAAGCCCATGACCAAAGAAATCTCAGAAACCACTGCTTACATAGGCGGATGCAAGTGGTTTGTTAGTGGAGTCTGCAAACAAGGAAGTTTATGAGATGGAGTTCTCTTTTAAAGGAAAGGGAAGTTGGTACTATTTTAAAGTTTATCTTCCTTAAATAGTCATAGATGTTGATTTAACTGAACATCTCCTGAAATGGGAAGAAAGTGAAGAGAAGTAGAGAAATAGGGGAGAGAAGTGGTTATTTCAATAAACCAAATATTTTCTAGACAAGAGTTTTGAGGAACAAGTCAATAATGTCGGTCTCTCCTGAGAGACAGGAATTTCATAAACCATCCTCTGTCCTCATCCTCATGATCAGAATTTTCACTCCTGGTTCTCTCTCCACCAGGAGGAGTCTCAGTGTATCTATTTCACTCCTAACCTTTTATTTTCTTTCTGCAGTGGTAAGTGATGGGCAGTAATAACAGTGTGACCCATCTGCTGGTTTTAAACTAAGCAGAGCAGGAGCCCTGGTGGGGTGCACCAGACTCTGCCCGCCCTACTAGGGAAGTCACCACTATGGTATGTGTATCTGTAGGTCCTTGTAGCAGAGTCAACTCTTCTTATAAGGACTTCTTTTTATACTTTCCTGAGAATTAAGATAATTTAACGAGGAGAGGCTTTGGAGCCAGGCAGGCCTAATTTTCCTTCTTAACTGCTGTGTGGTACTGGAGAAGGTATTAATAAGTTAACTTTTCAGATTCTTAGGTTTCTTATCTGTAAACTCAGGTTAACATTACTGACTTCATAGCATTATAGGAGGTCCTGGGTGTAGACTGCTGGCACATATGTGTGCTTGACAGACACTAATGCTTTCCTGGGAGGTACTGATTTCCAGTTTCTGGCATAGTCAGGTGTGGTTACCTCTCTAGGGGACTGTGGCTGGATGTAAACCTTATAAAGTTTCTTTGCTCTGGAAGTTCTGCTCCACTGTGAGGCAGTTTTCTTATAGGTTTCACATGCCATCCAGAATTTAATATTCTCATCACTGTGCTCTGTTTTTAAGTATGCTGCATAGATCACCGGACCATCTAGAAGTAGAGGAGAAATCAGTTTATTTTCTTGGGTCAAAATCATAAGAAAAAAGTCTGAACAATATGTAGTACAATTTAAAACTAATGCCTGAATCAGAGCCCCCAAATTATTTAACAATATATTATATATTATATAATGATACACACACACATCCCACATCTCACTTAGTTCTATGCATCGGAAGCATGTTTTGACAACAGCAGTCAGTGGTGGGGTCATTCCTTCATCCCTTTATTCTGTGTAACTCAGAGCAAGATGCCTACTAGTGTGGCTTGGATAGGTCACAGGGACCCAGAAACAGGACTTAAATGAGATCAGTGGACAGAGCTCTGACCTCGAAACTGAGATGAAAAATCTAAAACCTCTAGACAAACTAGAGGATAAGAGCAAGGTTTAAAGCTAAACAGGTAGGTTAAGGTTGAAAAGAGAATATCCAATCCATGTAAAAATGATAAAGTGATCAGGCTGTATAGTCTGGGATGTGTCTCATATGCAACTAAAGCGGGAGAACATGGATAATGAAAAATTCAACTTCATGTTCATGGTTTATGGTTCACACCAGAAATGAAGGACTAGGCAATGACTGGAATTCAGATGGGGTGTTGGAAACTATCCCAGAATCTAGACCAGCACAGTGAGGATGTGCAGAACAACCATTAAGTGACACTTGATGCCAGAGATAGCCATCCTGTGCTCTGGTCTTTTCTGAAGTGGGAAGATAAGCGCAGACGTGTGGGAGGAACTTTTTCCATTAAGCCACTATTCTGTGGGTGCTAGTGTTTGAAGAAGAGAGTTAAGCGAGCTTTCACAAATCTAACGCTTTAGTAAGAATCCTTGAGGAGATCAAGTGTTGTGAAGATTAAAGATGAACACTCTGAGAAAAACATTAAACTTCTTTTGGTGGCTAGGAAGTCTCTTGGCACATCTGAGAAACTGAATTGCTAAGTGCCAATAATGGAGTAACTTTCCATTAATAGTGATAGAAATAGGTATGTAGGCACATTGAATACATGAAGAAACAGGCTTTTGATGAACAATAACTTACAATCATTAACTGTTACAAGAAATAATAGTAATCAGAGGGAATGGCCATGGTGAGTAAAATCGTATTTTCCTAAATCTGCACATGAGACAGTGGATCTCATGAGTTTCCTAGCAGAGAAACCAGACTCCTTGACTCCTGGATTCTACTGCTTGTTAGCACGGACACAAAAATGAAGATGACAATTAAGGTATTTTGTGTTCACGAGAAAAACTCAAATGGAGACAGATTTCAATAATGCCTTCTGAGGAAGCTTTAGGGTTCAGGAAAGTTGGTGATCTGCAAGAAATGTCCTGTCCTAGGAAGACACAAAATTAGAGCTTAGTTCATTATTATTATGGAAGCAAGTGTAGCCTTCAGAACATTGGGTTGAAGATGCTTCAAAAGAAGCATGTTTGAATTGAGAGGACAGATGAGATGGGGGTAGGGCATATATAAAAATGTAACACAGGAAAGGATATGGGATTCAATATTTCTACCCAATGGGGAATATGTTTTACCTTAAACTTAAAACAAGAACATTTATTTTCACAGCAATTTACTTTAAGATATGCCTAACCTCATCACAGGCACAGAAAACTGGGCTCAGAGAATACAGATGTAGCAATTGGCATTCCTGTTGGAGAAAGAGCTGAATGGGCAGGCACATCATGAAACAAAACAAATCAAAATAGAAAACCATTTCTGGCCTAACAAGTAAAGCTGGAAGCCAATAATTTGCAGTATGCATTGAAAGAACTAGAATTCTATTTAAGAAAATAAAAAGCAATTTTTTATACTTGGAGAAATTTTGACTGAGTGCTTCATTAGGAAGAGAAAACAGGATCCTAAAATAAACAAGTTGGGGAATAGGGGGGAAAAAACGAGCTGCCAGATGAAATCTACAGACCCTGGAAAGACTTAGCCACCAGGCTGGTTGCATGGATTGAGTGGATGGGGTGGGGTGGGGGGATAATTTGGAAACCAGTATGAGATTCCATGTTATAGTATTCTGAATTTGTGTTTGTCTTTATGTTTAGCTTCATTTTATAGTGAAAAGTTTATTCTAGAACTTGCCTGCATCTGTGTCTTCCTTAACTTCCCTCCTGATTGAGCCCAGGAAGGGTCTTTTGGAGCCAGCCAAGTAGTTTAACAATTCTCAATATTCCCAAGTCCTCTGCTGATGAAACCACATGTATTTTTCCATAGCTATCTAATGTGGTAGATGGTGGTATTGTTCTCAATTATCCCTGCCCTTCTTGTAGGAGAATTGTACTTTCATGTCCCATTTGTATCAGCCTTGCTCACTGAACTTGTTTCAGCGATGCACAGTGCCGAGGGCGGGTCAGACAGAAAGCTCAGGGACTATCTGGCGGTTCTACTGCTGCTCCTCTCCCCACTGTGAGCAGGGCAAATTCTGGGAGAGCTGCTCCTTTAGTCTGAAGGCCAGAGTAAAGACCTGCACCAGAGCTACAGTTGACCCCAGTCACTGTGTAGTGTGAACAAGAAAGGCATTTCTCTTGTAATAAATCAGGGGGTTTGCATACCATGTGTTACTGTATTATAACCTAGTGAGAGCTGACTGGGGCCACTTGAACTTGTCTGAGATTTCTGATATGGCTGATGTGTACAGCAAGTGCTCACATAGTGGGTATGTTTTATAGGATTTTGTCTTAAATGTGACAGTTTTTTGTGTTAGGCAAGTTAAGCAGCCTACAATGCATTTGTACAAAAGAGTTTCAGGAATCCAAGCTATTAGTAAAGTCAGAGCTGAGATGCTCACTTTAGCATTTCTATTGACTGTACAACAAGAGGATTACAAGGTGGGAAAGCCTCTCCCAACTCAGGTGAGGCAGCTCTGTGTGGCTCGTTCGCCTCCATTCTGAGCGCTTGATTCTGCTTGAGCAGGGTAACGGGGATACACAGCAGAACTGCTCATTAAACTCAGAAGGTGGAAGAACTAGGTTCATCTCACACGTAGTGTACACTGTTTTCCTGGAAGAGTGAGAGCAGTGCCTTTGGTGCTCCCTAGTGTGTTCTTTGGAGAAGGCAATGGCACCCACTCTTGCCTGGAGAATCCCAGGGATGGGGGAGCCTGGTGGGCTGCCAGTCCATGGGGTCGCTAAGAGTCGGACACGACTCAGCGACTTCACTTTCACTTTTCACTTTCATTCGTTGGAGAAGGAGGTGGCAACCCACTCCAGTGTTCTTGCCTGGAGAATCCCAGGGACAGAGGAGCCTGGTGGGCTGCCGTCTATGGGGTTGCACGGAGTCAGACACGACTGAAGTGACTTAGCAGCAGCATTGTGTTCTTCATGTATTAGTCACCACAATTAGTATTTCCACGATACACAAGGTGACACATGCTGGTATCTCGATGTAAGAAGGAAATGTGATATTGCTCTTGTCTGGGTCAGAATGGTGGCCCATCTCTCCCAGGACCATTTTCTGCAAGGCGGCAAGGCTCATAGCATACATTAAATCCTAAGAGTGAGCTTTGCAGCTGTCTGCCATCAGAAATGTTTCTAAAGCAATATTGAATCCATTTTATTTTTAATATAAACCACCAGGGTTTGAGCTCCATAATTCTACCAGCCTCTGCATGAAGTTTTAAAATAAGTCTGTTCTATTAAAATTCTCTGATTTGACTTCTATGACATTAATCATTTCTGGTTTTTCTCCTAACTTGTCTTTGCTGTATTATTGTATAGCAAAAGAACTTAAAGTACTATTAAATGGTTTTTAAATAGAGAATTTAACAACTTGATATACTTCCTTTTGCTATTTTAGTCTTTTGCTCATGTTTAACTTTCTATTTAAACAGTATTCATTCATTTTCACAAATACAGACACACTCTCAAATTACCTTACTGGCATTTACAGTGAAAGCAATTTTGTATCATTCTTGCAAACACTTTCTCTTGTTTGCTCCTTTTTTTCTCCTGTTTACTCTTAGAATTAAAAGACACTTGCTCCTTAGAAGAAAAGCGATGACCGACCTAGACAACATATTAAAAAGCAGAGGCATTACTTTGCCAACAAAGGTCCTTGTAGTCAAAGCTATAGTTTTTGCAGTAGTCATGTATGGATGTGAAGTTGGACCATAAAGAAGGCTGAGTAACAAAGAACTGATTCTTTTTAACTGTTGGACCATAAAGAAAGCTGAGTGCTAAAAAATTGATGCTTTTGAACTGTGGTCTTGGAGAACACTCTTGAGAGTCCCTTGGACTGCAAGGAGATCCAACCAGTCAATCATAAAGGAAGTCAGTCCTGAATATTCATTGGAAGGACTGATGCTGAAGCTGAAACTTCAATACTTTGGCCACCTGATGCAAAGAACTGACTCATTGGTTGTCTGAGGAGGCGTTACAAATAGCTGAGAAAAGAAGAGCAGCTAAAGGCAAAGGAGAAAAGGAGAGAGATACCAGTGAATGCCGAGTTCCAAAGAAAAGCAAGGAGAGATGAGAAAGCCTTCCTCAGTGACTGGACTGAACTGAACTCTTGAAGGCTGCAGTGGTCCTGCAGGGTCTGCTGCACTATATTACACTGAGCCAAGTTGTCATTGCTGAACGTCTGGATTATTTACCCTGAATATGTTGTAGCTTGTACTGCAATGGAACATTTTGGAATATAAATCTTTACACCTCTAATTATTTCCTTAGAATGCAAAGAGTAGAATTACTAGATTGATGATATTTTTGGAGATTCCTGATACCTATTCTAACATTTCTTTCAGAAAGATTTCATTTTTCATTTGTAACAGCAGTGTTGACATGTCTACTCACTCCTTCCATTCCAATCAGATTGTGTAAAACCAGTGACTTGCAATTACTTAAATTTGTATTTTAAAATGTTAACGCATATATATGGAATTTAAAAAGATGGTAACGATAACCCTATATGCAAAACAGAAAAAGAGACACAGATGTACAGAACAGACTTTTAGACTCTGTGGGAGAAGGCGAGGGTGGGATG